AAGGATGACTCCTAGAGTACTTGGATAAGTATGTTCCGGTTTGGTCAAAGGGGGATCCATGAAGACGTGGGGAGGTGAAAACCTCTCCCCAATGAATTTTTTTCTCTTTGATTTAAATTAAGTTGAATAAGAGAATGATTCCTATCGGAAATGTAGGAGAAAGCCAGAAGATTGAGGTCACATCGGTACGATCAAAATGAGACAATATGGACGTCAAGTTAAGTAAGAAATCAACAATCGATAGGTAGTGCTTTACAATACGTATTACTTGCGACAATTCAGCTATCATATCAATGGAGAAATCTACTCATCAATTCATTCAATCAAGGATTTCATCAAATTCATATCGAAGGGGAGAGAGTAAGCTGTTTGTGCACAAACCACCAACTGATTTTTTTTCTCTTTGATTAAATTTAAATTTCAACAAGGGAATGACACCTATCAAAAATGCAGAAGGAGAAAGCCAGAAAATGAAGGTCACATCGGCAAGATCGTTGAGTAATAATGAAAGGCATCATTTTTTTCTAGATATTATAACAATGAATTAAAATCAATTATCATTTTCTTACAAAAAATTCGGCTAGTATATATATATATATATATATATATATATATATATATATATATATATATATATATATATATACGCCTACGTACGGTACATACACCTCTTTTGAAGAGCAATAGAGCTTTATCCTTTGTTTCATGTTTAGGATTGGGTTTCTGGTTCCTTCAACTCTTTAATTCTTTTAATTTTTTTCAGTCTCAGTAACCCTTTGCGTCTTCCTGGCAATATCGCCTTTCTTGGGGTAAAATGATTGAAAAGGTTCAAATGGAAAATATTAACTGTGCGAACGTTTCCAGCTTTCTCTTGCTTAGAAACTTCAGCATTATTACATTTGGAAAAACGATTAATATTTTTTAAAAGGCTGTTATCTTTTGCAAACGGTAAATATAACACAAATTGTATCTTGGTAGTAAGAAACAAGGGAGTGATTCATGATAAAGTCTAATGGCGCGGAATCAATTTACCTGTGACGCAAACACTCGGTCAGTTTGCATCATTTGGGGTGTGCCTCTATGTGTTCGTGATAGTGTCAGAACCATTGAAAAGTATGAGTCACTATTTAAGAAGCTCTAGTTTTCATTAACTCCCTAACTAGTGCTTTTAGACATTAAAACCAGGTTAATTAGCCGGGAGTTCGGAACTAGACGAATTTGATTTGAGTGACTGCAATCAAAACTTTTCGCCTTTGCTTGAGTCATTCGACATTCAATGACGAATTGTGTGTACCGCCACAGAGAGTTTAAGATCATTCGAGTGTTGATAGATTATAATCTGATAGCTTAGTACTGCACGAAGTTAAAAGAAAAGAGATGCTGGATAAATCAATCATCTTAGAAAAGGCAACAAAGGATTCAGGCCTTGAAAATCAGCATTCAAGATAAAAACTTTAACTTGTAATGGAATAACAATCACTATGACGGATGGTAGAACTTGACCATATCAGACATCATACCAACCACACTTAGTAAATGACTACGGGTGTAGGTCTTCCTCACCCTTTCCTTGACCAGTTTTAATTGTTTTATTACCCTACATGCAGAACATTTTCACTGCCAATTCAAGGAAGACATTTGGTTCACAAACACACAAAAAAGAGAATTTAAAATCTACGTTACAACCAGAAACGTTTGCCGTTTTCTCTTTTTTTTATATATATATATATATATATATATATATATATATATATATATATATATAGGGGGGGTACACTCGTCTACACCAAGCGGCAACAGTTTGTTTCAGGATTAAACGCAATCTTCAGGCCACGTGTATTGTGTTTTGGTTCGATATTTATATATGTTGGTCAAATGTGCATTATGACTAGTGAAGTCTACAGTATTATACTAAGGGTTATTGGGTGGGCGGTAGTGGTTTTTTTTTCAATTTTTTCAAGAGGATCACTGGTACCCCAACTCTCTGAATTTAAATGTGTTACTAGTTTGGTATCTCAGTCCCAACTTTCACTGACGAAACAGTTAAATGTAACCGCCTCTTCTATTTCAACAGCTTCTTCTCACGCACTTCCCGACAGTGGAACTCCCTTCCCCTTACTTGCTTCCCTGGTAGCTATAATCTCCAAGTATTCACATGTAATGTCAATCAACATTTTCTGATGATTTGATCTTGACCCCCACCCACGTCCTTCTTTTTATCCTTTCCTCAAACACCCCTCTTTACTCGTACCCTCACTCTCTATAAACTCTTGCAAGTTAGTGGCACTCCTGACTTGCTTGGGGCGAAAGGTTATTGAGTATAAATAGGTGGATCCGAATGTGTTTACTTGTAGTTATTTTATGTTGTTATTTATTTTTTTGCCAATTATTTATGACTTAATTATTTGTTGTTAATTATTATTTTTACATTCCGTTGTGCATTCGTAGTTGGGTAATTTGTTTATTATTTACCTTAATATTTTTATATATTTAGATTTTTGTTTATTTATTTAGGTTAAACTGTTTGTTTTATCTACATTGGGTTACACTATCTGCTTTGTATATAACATAGTGCATATATTGTTGTATTTTGCAATAGACCTTCAATACACACTGTTTAATAGATGTTAAATAAGTAATTTCATTTCGGGTCTTCATGTCGCGTGTGATTTTTAAGTCCCGCCACTTATTTGCATACAAGTTCACAAGTTGTGCAGTGTGTGAATTGCGAGACATTATGTCGCGGATGACTGATCATGTTTCTTGTCGTACGTAGCTTGTTTATTAAATAATGCTAACATTTCACCATCTGCTTCAACCCCTCCTTTTAATGCAGGATCACAATCCTGGAATGTTGAGCATGGTATATTGAGAGCTTCAAGATTGTTCTTGACCTTATCTTTGAACAATTTCCCTCCAGGAGAGGTGATAATGCCACTAAAACGCAAGAAGTTGCTGAAAGAATATATGAAATAGAATGTAAAAAAGAAAAAAAACTTTAGAAAGAAACAAAAAAAAAAAAAAAAAAAAAAAAAACTATTCCAAAATAGGAAACAGAGGTTAAACATCTATTTTTGACTGTGGAGCAGGATGAAACGAACGATAAGTGAGTAAACTATCGGACACATACAAATATATATATATATAGAGAGAGAGAGAGCGAGAGAAATAGATAGATCAAGGACCAACTCAATAAAAAATATCCAAATGTTGGATAATTCTTGTCTTTTTTTTCAGCCGAAATTAAAGCAATCATAGGAACATTAGACCGGCTCATGACTAGACATAATAGACATTCATTGTCTGTTATATTTTACAATATATGTTTAAATAATCCTCTGATGCTCAAAAATACTATATATATATATATATATATATATATATATATATATATATATATATATATATATATAAACGCGTGTATGTGTGTGTGAGTGTGCGGCTGTCTTCTCAGGTCATCTCATCGCCTACAGTAATCTTTAAAACCTGATTCTTACCACGTGTTCTGACGAAAGTTCTTATGTACTTTCACCTTCATGTTTGCTCTTCAGACAAATTACTGAACAGTGTGAAAATCAATGCAAAATGTTTCATTGCAGAAGCGTATCTCTCAACATTAAAGAACAGTGCATTTAAAATAGCCTCCGTTATTTTTGAATGAATTCGTTCTTGTGTTGATAGTTTCATCCCTTAAATGATTTATCAGCAAAAGCCGAATTGCTAACATTGTTACAAGATTTAATCGCCTGTAGCCATAGGCCATCGTAAGCAATAATACGATCTCTCTCACCGTGAATATTACTAATTTATACTCTATACATTCGTATCACAAGCACAGAGTTATGTCTAATGATTCTCTATAAGTATAGCTCGAAATTTGACTCAGAGCAGAAACAATTAATGAAAAGTACTTCAAATACTCCAACCAAAACGAAAATTGTTCAAGTATTAACGTTTAACTTGACACAGTGCTAATACAACTTGTAGACAAAACAAAGGCCGTGAACACCTCCCACAGACTTACTATGCCTAAAATATAGCTACAAATTATGTCATATCAGCTTTCCTATATATCAGTGAATACAGTTCCCTTAATGGTGAAATGGAGAATTGAGACAATGATTTTCTAGAGAATGAGACTTAAAATTCTATAGACGAAACAGGTGAGTAGCGAGGAAGTCATAAGAAAAATGTTAACAAAATGGACGTTTATATTTAAAATGACTAAGACATATAAGGAGTAAAGAAAGTTTAGAAAATTTGACTAACATGATATATTGAAGGCCGTAGAAAAAGCGAATAACCTACCTAACAAGCATATGTAGATGCATGGCAGAACAAGGATCGAAAGGGGTAGGAAAAAAGATACAAAGATAGAAAGTTGTGGAGAACGCCGATTGCCACGACAAGAGAAGGCATAAAGGAAGCTGCAAAATTATGTGCGTTAATATAAACCAAAATTTGCCATATCTTATGTAACCCACTATCATTTCTGATTCCCAAGAAATAAATGGCATAATTTCCAGAAAAAGAAATACAATGTTCTTCCTTGTGACCAATGACGTGACACTGTAGGCCACGAATAAGCATATAAAAACAGTTCTTTTTCATTTTGACCCTCCCAACATTTTAGGCGTTCCTAATTACGACCGTGATCTTTGCTCGCAGATTTTTTCGTTAATATTTAAGAGGCTTTTGTGCGTGGGAAACAAACAGATGATGAAAGAAAAATAAAATGAATGTAGGTACGAGTGAATGAATAAACGAATGAATGAAAGAATACAAAAAATATGAAGGAAAATCGTTTGAAATAGAGAAAAGAAAAAATTGCGGAAAAGATTATACCCTGAAGAAAAGAACGATTAGGTAAGAAAGGAAATAACAAGCGTTGGTTATCAAGACAAAAAGGTAGAAAATGTGATGGGAAGGGAAGAGAACATTAGATATAAAACTACATTAAAATGCATGCAGGAAAGAATATGTTAAATGCTAGAGCTAGTCTAATGGAACGAAGAAGAAAATATAAGAGGAGGAATAAAAAACAAAACAAGAGAGATAAGTGGATAGATAAAGAGCAGAAGAAGAAACAGAAATAAGAAAAATAGTAAAAATGAATTGAAGAAAATGAAGAATTCAAAAAAGAAAGAGATGCTGAATAAAAGAGAATGATGAAATAATTAAAAAATACAATGTGCTAAAGAGGGAATTTGTGGGTAAATCACGTGATTTCATTGGGAAAATAAAAGAAACTGAAAATGAAAAGGCAGAAAATATGAAATAGACAAAAAGTGAGGGAAAGTGAATTAGAGAAAAATAATAGGTTGCAGTGAACAACGTGGAATGAAAAACAGTAAAGATCAAAAGGTACATTCAGGAGTTAAATATAAAGAGTAGACAAGGAGGAAAACAATATATATATATATATATATATATATACATGAGAGTGAATGAAATAAAAGAAGAAGAGAATAAAATTAAGAGTTGAATATAAAGAGAAGACAAGGAGGTAAATAGTAATTAAAATATATCTATGTGTGTTTGTGAGTGTGTGTGTGTGTGCGTAAGGCAGTGAATGAAATAGAAGAAGAAGAAGAAGAAGAAGAAGACGAAGAAGATTGAATATAAATAGAAGACACGGTGGAAAGACGTAATTAAAAGACTATAAACCAGTGAATGAAATAAAAATCAAATATGAATAAGTAAACAACGACGATGATGCTGCTGCTGATGATGATGTATGACGATGATTTATGACGAAAAATAAGAAACAAATAAACTAGAAAAATAGAATAAGTGAAAACAATAGCAAAATCAAAGAAAAAAAGAAAATATACACTCCCAAATAGACAACGATATAGGCACATCCGTGCTCAAAACAGAACATAGATATAAAACTTGTATTGATATCGAATATTAAGTTACAAAAAGAAATGAAAAAGACGAAGATACAAATAGATGAAATAAATTTGCTATTTATTTATTTATAATAAAGATGGTGGGAATTTCAACATGTTTTTTTATATGTAATTTTTCCTTTTAAAAACCTTTCTTTCTATATTCCTTTTTTGTGGATGTACTACCAAGTGCATGGGTTAGGGAGTAAAGCAAAAGGTGGTCGGTGGGGGGGAAGAACTTTCAAAAATTAAAACGAATCTGTAGGAAGTGTGGACCGTTGAAACTCTAAAAACGAAAGTAAAAAAAAAAAAGGAATTAGTATGAGAAGGCTAAAAGTGAGATGGAGAGTGAAGAATTGAGAAAGTAAGGTGAAGTAGCAGAGGTGACGATGGCGGTGTCGGCGGCTGCTTCTGGCGTGAGTAAAGAGACGTACACAGAAACTGGGGCTTTAGATTCTAGACATCAGCTAACGATGGTAATTGAGGGCGTGTGATGGTGTAGGGAGACGGGAGTATTGGATGGGAACGAGAAGAACCAACACTCTTATATAGGGCGGCGTAGAAGAAAAAGAAGGAAGACGAGGAGGAGGAGGAAATGGGATGAGAAAGAAAGCCGACTAACCCTGAACGCTGGCCGATGAAAGAACTTGATTGTTCTCTGTGTCGGCTGAGTACGCACGGCTGACGCTCGCTTCGGGTCGATCTGGACAGACCGATAAAAAGGAAGATGATTGCTGTTGTTCAAACTGGGATGAAGGACAGTTGCTGAGTGAGAAAAAAACAATAATAATAATAACAGCAATATTAAAACTGTATAGTAAGTTAACGCAGAAAATTAACCAAGAACAATGATTTGGTTGTAAGGGTGATCCATTGTGAACTATGCAAGCGATTGATGGTGTACGCGTAGATTACAATAAGTGCATGACAATGGACGCAAATGGAAATTAACCAGGTCAGAAAAACGACATAGATATAGTGGTTTTCCAAGTGCAGCTTAAATGTGGAACGAGGCCGAAAGTATGTGGCATCCAGTGGGGATCGAACTCACAACTCATTGTTGTAGCAAGACCAGCTTGCTAACCATTGGACCGCTTCGAGGTGTTCAAGCCGACATAGATATAACCGAGAACAAAAAGAAGGCAGCAAATTCAGTATGTTGATTTTGCCATATAATTGGCAAATATTTCTTCTTTTTTATTAATAAAGTACACATGACACAAGATTTAAGATCCACTCTAATTAGAGATTCAATGAAGGAATTTGAAGAGAAGTTATTAACTCTTCGACTGAAGGGTCAATTGTTTGATTTTAGTTTCAGGAAGGCATCGATGTTGCAGTCTGTTTCAAAATGTTGCGGTTCTTGGCTAAAACTGGATGTGAATTCCTACTTATTTTCTGAGGGAGGAAATATGGATGAATCGACTCCCTGAACGGAATATGTCGAACCCTGGCATTAAATGTTTGAATTGATCGAACTAATGACGTTAACACATCTGAAGAATTGCTATGGAAACAGTGATAGATTTTACATGCTGAGTCTATGGGGAAAGAGACTGTAGATTGGATAATAAGTCATCGACTACAAGAGAGCTTAAAGAATTTTGAATTCTATCTAGTACAGAAAGCGAGGATTGTGCTGCTCCAGTTCAGACACGGCAGAAATATTGCTTTCTTTGCTCTTATTTCATACTTGTAAAGATCCAATATTGCAGAAGGAGTCAGTAGAGATCGAATTCTAGCTGACCATTTATCCAGTATCTTTAGCAAAGGATCGTATACATGAGTATAACGTCTGAATCAAAGAGACTATTTGAGAGTGAACCCATCCATCGTCACTGGAGAACCTTCTGTTGAGTGCCAATAGTGCTTATCGGCGTGCGAACAGTAGAGCAATGAATTTCGGGGAAGAAACGGGAATACCAAGATGACAGTGTTACTGTCTGATGGATTAATAACAATTCATTATTTTCTTTTTTTTAAAAAAAAAAAACTCCGTTTCACATAAGAAACTGTGCAGATCGGGAGAAAGAAGTTTCGCTTAAAGGTACAATTTCAACCTTGCCCTCTTCGTTGTTTGAAGCTCATATTGTTCGAATTTGTCAAATTGTCGTATCGGATTTAACGGTAGCTTTCTTTGCCCGGAGGGACGCGGGTTCAAATCCTGTCAGAGAGTGTAATTTTTTCTTTAAAAAAATTTCTTCAACATTCAGGTCGCTAGACGAAAATAAATATCCTACTTAGATATGAATATCCACTAAAAAGAACGTTTAAAACGATAGAAAGTTGTAACGGATTGTGTGTGTGTGTGTGTGTGTGTGCAAGCGTGTGCGTGTAAGCAGATCAAACTTTCAAGTCAATTTGTTTGAATTACTACATTTTTTAGAATGTATATTTAGTTCAAATAGCAATGAATTCTAAGCGACCTCCATTTCGTGTTATACTCTTTTTTTTCTCTTGACCATGGCTATTTGCCAGGCAGAAATGGTAATTACAACTTACGACACAGATGGCTACTTCAGTTTTATTCAACTTCTCTGTACGTTTGTACGTGTGCATGTATAGGTTAATTCAATGAATGATCTAAAAGATTTTCTACAAAATAATGAAATAATAACAATTCTCTTTATACTATTTCCAATGTTTTTACTGTTGTCCACATCCTTGTTGCCATATGTTCCGGTTGTAGGCTCCGTCATTCTTCAGCTGATTGGAATTTCCAACCGGACGCATTATTTAATCCAAACGGGTAGATTGCTCCAGTTCAATCACCTGAATAAGGCCGGAGCGCACAACGGCCGAAACGTTGTGAATATGGCAATAAAGATGAATTACAATAATCCAAACATTGTAAATAGTGCAAATAATTACAATACATCATCTCAGAAATATAGACGGATCCTGAAGAAGGCTGTAGTGGACAACGGCCGAAACGTTGTGAATATGGCAAAAAATATGAGGACAAAAGTCCGAACATTGTAAATAATGTAAATAATTACAATACATCATCTCAGAAATATAGACAGAAATTCTGTTTATTAAAAATAATTTACCAAATCTTCAATAAAATAGTATAATTATCTAATTATTTGGGGATTTCAAAAATGAAGTTTTTTCTTCACTCTAAATTTATGATTTTATTGCTCCGCCCATAGTAGATGTTCAGTCTAACTGAGAAGGGAATATATTATATCACTGTCTTATTTCGAAATAAGTCATATTTTGTGTATATGTTTGTGCGCGTGTGTTTATGTATATATCAAATTTTACAAGTACTTGTAAGTTTATCACATTTCTAAATTCTTCATATCCAGACAATATATGAAGTACAGAGAAACATCTCTTCAAATCAGCAAAATGGAGGAGAGACATAAGTGCGGAGATTATGACTTGAGTCATGATCTCGCAGATTTGTATACGTGTGCCGCAGTTTGCTTGTCAGTTTCAAAACTGACTCTTTATTTAATTGTTTGCATAATGTTGATGAAAAGTAAATACTTTGTAATCAGTAAGGTGAATATTTTGGTGTCGACACAATTACTTACTTTCAACCTTCAGAGCTAAAAGAATACATTCAACTTTTACTGACGCAACATCTAAACTGTTTAAATCATCACAAAATAAGGTGATTGTCTTGATTTGGAAGTGATACCTCAAACAGTGTGAAATAATTTGGCCATCAGTATCGAACAGAGGCGTGTATACTGCTGGAGTAAAATGCATGACCAGATACTTCCTAAACCACATATCTAAAATGATACATTTTGGCACTGGTGTTCTGCACCACCATTCGGTTTCAGATGGCCCGTTCTCTACCGATAACCATTTCATTTGAGTCTTAAATTGATCTAAAAGTCTGCAGTCGTGTACCTATTTGGATCAGATCAAAAATGCCTTGAGTAATTTTGAAGACTTCCATGACATCAGCTTCCCTCCTAACATAATTATTTGCAGGTCATTGCGACATAAACATGATACTGATTTTCCATAGGCTGACTATAGAGTAGTCATTGTTTAAAGTTTTAATTTGAAAACGATCATAATCTTCCACACTAAAATATATGAAACATGAATCAATATTGATTAACTGTATGGTCGGAATATAAAAAGTCAAAAATAAGTGGATTTAAATTACGCACGAACACTACAATAAATTATTTTGACCCAATTATTATACATCGGGCCTTATATTTATGTTTTATTAACTGACTGAAATACAATTAATAATTACTATCGCTGAAGATAAGATGATGAAATTTTAAATTTAAATTGTTTGGCTATCAAGAATACATTTTTTAGAAAATATATCCAGTTTTAATGGTGGAATCATAAGAATATATTCAACAGATTAAAAATTTGGGTTTTTCTATTTTCCTATTAACCAGACGTGGTTGTTAGACAGAAAAGTAAATTATCCCACAAAAAAAACAGTTTTAATAAAAATTTGTATATGTCAGTTTGGATGGACGCATGGATATTTCAATTCAATTACAGAACTAAAAATATTTCTAAATTTCTTTAAAAAACAACGGCTTTAAAATTAATCCTATTTATTAACGAATAATTTTCGAAAGTGCAAGAAAATCTTATAATTAGCTGCCATTTTGGGTCTAAAAATTTTTTTTTTCTCGTCTCCATATTAATGATTTTATAATTTATCCCATGTTAGTGTTGTCCGTAGGAGAATATGCTATTAATTAAAACATAGTCAGATTTCGTGTGCATCTTTATGAGTTTGGGCTGAGAATATATTAAATGACCCAAACACATGTAAGTCACTAACGTACAACAACGTATCTTGAAGAGAATCACTTCGTCTTTTATATTACAGATTCATAAATCTATTGTTTTTCTAATTTTCGTCCTCGAAGTGAAAGTCGGTGACGTGGTTTTTACTGCGGCGTAGAATGGCTACTAACACTTTCTTCATTTGTTACTTTAGAAATAAAATCCGGAAATTAAGTTTGCTGCTAGTTATGGCATTTTCATGAAGAAATTCTCCAATCATTGAGTCCAAAAAATCAGTGCATAAATTAAGTATCTGCTGATTGGTTAAATGTTTTGTGTTTCTTGTTTCCTGTAATAGGATGTGTCATTGTTGTAGTTCGTCGGGCAAAAGAAGGGCTTCGTTTTACATCAGGATATGTAAGCAATTTTAAAAGTGTAGAAAGTATGTTAAACGAAGCTGAAACATAGAAACTTTATATAAATGTTTACAAGAAATCATGATTCTTTAAGAATATCTGTGAGGGAGTGTGACTGCGGAAAACATGTAACTAAAAGAGTTACGGACGATTTTAGATAGAAAATTCAACAAGCTAAAACTAAAGAACACAACACAGAAATTTATATAATTTTTAGTAATACATACATATGTGGCACCATTTAACGAGGCGGAAAAGGAAAAGAAAGAAAAGAAGGAAAGGAGAGGCTAAGGACCGAATCGTAGATGATAAGCAGAACACACACACGGCTAAGAGACAATGGATGAGGGATATTTTGATAAGTAACAAATGGCGAAAGGGTGTCATTACAATGACAGGGAAATTCTGAGTAAAAAGAAAGGGAAAGAAAGAAAGAATCTGATATGTTTTGGCCACGGCTGTGTTATCTAAGGATATGAAAACAAACTATTGGTACGGGAAGGCATCTTATTACCAATTACAGACCGACTGGCCAAAGAAAAATTCAAATGAAAATGTTATTTCGATAAGTGACGAAAAACAGGCAACTAAAAGGACTTTGGACAGATATGAAAAAATTAAAAGCCACCCACGAGTGTCCGCTGACCGATTTCCTTCGACGGAACATCGTTGGCCTGCGATAATAAAATTATGTTATCAGAAATATGTACCGAAGGGAAATGAATGGGAATTTAGAAATGTCTTTTCGGGGCGACGTTGGCCGTGTTAGGAAGACCACCATTCAGATAATTCAGATAAAATACCTGACGAAAACCACGTGTAGAACAAGAGTTATGACCGCCATTGTTCATATTGTCCCGTTTGGGTCTAGAGAAATGATAACGGCGATTAAGAGGAAGAAAAGGAAAAGAAGGGTTAATTTTTTTTAGTTAAGCAATATATATTTTTTTTTCCTGAAACAAAGCCGCGGATTCGTCCACGCCCGACTAAGACATCATTGGTCAAGTGGTGACGCACGAAGGAGGCTATCGCCGCCCATCCAGAGTGTAGGTATGAGAAGCTGCTACGAAGAAGTGAGGAGGGCAGTTCACGCCCTCTGAAGTATGGTGAGAAGGTGGGAGTGAGGAAAGTTTCCCAAAAATGGAAAAAAGTGGAAATTCCTAACCAGAGAGGTGGATATGTATTTAGAATTATCGAGGAAACCCCGACGCCGACAGACCCACCCCGGTTTTGGTCGGCGTCCATATAAGCGAAGCCACAACGAGCAGAGATCAGTTCCAGTGAGTTCCAGTTCCAATTTCAGTTTGTGTTGGAGTTGCAGCGAAGAGTCAGTCTCCAGTTGAAGCCGCCTCGCAGATAGCTGACCAAGATTCACGCAAATTCTGGACTCCTCTTCAACCCAAGAACAATTATTTTGAAGAGCGACTTAGATCCAGACTACCACAATAAGTTCTTTTTCGACTTTCGTCCAAAGACACACCGAAACACCAATTTCTTAGAGAGCAAACAACTTGAAGCGTTAAAACTTGCCTAACGGAAAACGACGTGTCACAATCCATAGAACGGGTCGGGAGATAGATGCAGTCCTATGTATCGAACAACTAGACATAAAGTTTGTTACCTTTTTCTTTGATACTTTGAACTTTTGAGTTTTCATTTTATTTTCTTTTATGCATATTTGTGTGGTATCACCCCCGTTGAACTCGGTTTGCATTACGGCTCCAACCACTGTTTGATCTCGTCTGCCTAAGATCAATTCACAACGTGGGTAGGCAGACTGGGGATCAATGCAGTTACCTTGGTAACCAGGCGTTGGAAGCGAGTTGGGAACGACGAGGCTGATATCAAATCTAACCAGATTCCCACCCGATTCACCAAAAGTTTAGAACGTCACATGTGGGTGCCGCGACCGATACCAAACCAGTTGGTCGTCACAGGACGAGACAACACGACTGACGCGACAGGCGGACGTCACGTTTGGAGCAGCGACACCCGAACGGAGCAGCGAGGAGCGAACAGCTGGCGCCGTGGCGAGGACGTCACAATTGGTGGTGTTTAGGGACGTCACAGTTGGTGCCGTGGTAGACCAGAATAGAACGTCACAGTTGGCGCTGCGACCAGGGGACGACGTCATATATATATATATATATATATATATATATATATATATATATAGATAGATAGATAGATAGATAGATAGATAGATAGATATATAGACTAGGTATGATAAGAACAAATAAAGTATAATTTCAACGTTCGTAACATTTAATTTAAGAGAGTGTTCAATACAGAGTAGAGTAATATTATTTATTTTAGGATATCAAATCGAAAACATGCAGTATGTTGTATCCGATACGTGATGTGGTTGAGATTTACGAAGTTACCCTGAGCGGAAACGAGACACGTCTTGTCACTAGAGCCCCCACCCCGTGTTAGTAGAGAGTTTTAAAAAATAAGTGAAAAAAATATGTCTTTTCTTTTATTCTAATTTATGTAACGTCATCTACCAGGCCTTAGAAAATGTGATTGGCACAAAAATTAAACATGAGATTTCGTGGCCATCGTTGTAATAATTGTTTCCCTTTCATCTCGCTCTCTCTTTTATAAATCATTTCACACATCGTATCTTCTTGCCGTTTTCTAGTTCTTCTCATCATCAGGAACCCAGTGTGTTACAATTCTTTGTGAATTAAATATAGACAATGTAGAAAGATAATTTGTTTCACGCATTTGATATGTTTGCCATGTGTTGCCGATTAACAATGGTAATAATGTTATTAGCCTTTTCCTTACAAGGAAATAATTGACATTCATTGACCGACAGCAAGTAATACTTTCAGTTGTAATTTATAAAATCTTTATTTTAAAACATTTTTTCAGAAAATAGTTTCTCAAGTTCAATATCTGTTATCGCGATTTCTAGTATTAGGGCTTTCCTTCCTAACCATTTTTTAAGTAGTGTGGAAAGTTAATATCTTGATTATGTGATTATTTTCTCCTCAAGTCACATATGTTTTCTGTTTTTACTGTTTCCTCTAGTAATGTGGTTTATGTTATTTGGTAGAGTTCTTTGTGATTCAATATCGCCTGTCCATAATGTTCAAACAAGAATGGTCTTTGCCAAGACAATCAGGCCTCACTTGGAATTTTTAAACCCAGTGAAAATGCAATATTGTTAACCCAAAAATTACTAAATATTTCATTGGTTACTATTGAAAATGGAAGCTTAAATATAAGTATGTAAAAAGATAAATTTGAAGCCATAATATTTTTTTTAATTGCGACACACTTCTTACTCCAGATTTATATTCACTCAGCAAAATAAGTTTCTGATGAAATAAGACTACATACCTATATTTGAGTAGTAGTGATAGAAAGACAATATGAATAAATTAATACTTACATGACTATATAACTATAACAAATCAGGAATAGTCACAATGTCCTTATAAAATCTGCTCTTTCTAAGTCGGTGGAAACCTGCATTTTTACATTATTTTTCTTTTAATTTCCATTATTTTTAGTCGAGAAAATTCAGTACAGCGAAGACAATTGTTGTAAATTTAAGAAAGGAAAAAA